TTTTCAGGTGTTAGTAAAGGTTTGGCACTCCCATTATGCTTTCTGATTTTTCCCATGCTGTACAAGACGGAACAAAGAAGTTGTTGGAATCCCTGTTGCAGCCAAGAGACTTCTTAAATCACCACTGTCTTTGAGCAGAACATTCTTCACTACTGCCTCTAGACCTGATAGAGTTCTGGCTTTCTTGCAACATTTGGGCCTTCAAGATAACACATCTCCAATAGGGCAAGTAGCAGGGGCCAGTGACTCTGTTGTTGGAGGCGTGGGACTGTGAAGCACCAGCTGATGGATCCCTTTCCCCTTCTTAGTGGAAGCAACCAGAGGGGGAAGCAACAGATGCGTGATGAAAGTTAATGGATCCCTTAAGAGTGGGGACAGCGGAGGTGCAAGGCAAGTTGTTGGCGCTTTCCCCATGTTAGTAGAAGCAACAAGAGCAGACCAGTCAATGGGTCCTCTAATAGTGTATGCAATGGAGACGCGCTCTTTCCCTTTCCATACCTCAGCGGAGGCAGCAAAGGTGCAAGGTGAGTCATTGGCGCTCCCCCCCTCTTAGTAGTGGGGGCAAAGGAGGCACTGGCAAGTCCATGGATCCCCTGTTAGTGGAAGCAATGGAGAGTGGTCTAGTGCACTGGAAGCAAAAGATAGTGGACCAGTCAATAGACCCCCTGTTGGTGGAAGCAACAGAGGCACAAGGCAAGTCAATGGATAAGAGTGGAGACAACAGAGGCGCAAGGCAAGTTGATGGATCCATTACACGACAGGCCATGTGATGGGATTGTGATAGGGGATTTGCTATGCGGTTGCTTTTTGCTTTTTGTGAAATAGTACTAATAGTAGCCCGTACAACAAGTATCATATATTCACTTATGATTATTGAATACTATTGTGGCACTAGTACAACAATGATCAAAATTTGTGATCAAACATGATCACAATAATGTGATCACAAAGTTGAGTTTTTTTAGACAAATATTTGTGATTAAAACTGAGCACAATTTTCAGGATCAAGAGGGGGTCCTAGGAATTTCAATTTTCCCAAAAATTCAAAATTGACATGGTTCCTGGTTTGATTTAATCATGGATTTTCTTTTGGGAGTGAAGAAAAAGTGGATTACTATTACTTAGAATACTTTTTTTGGATTAGTTTGAATAATAGCTAGTACTATGATTTTGACTAGTTAGAATACTTTGAATTTCTTGGTGATAATCTGAACTCTAAATTAACTCCAAAACGGTTATAATATGTCTGGCTAAACACCTGTGCAAAGCAACACATCAAAATTCATTTTCCATTATTTTAAAGGCATGTCATTACTGATACTAGACCAGTTTTAATGAAGATTCAGGAGAGGGCCCTTTTCAGTTTACGCTCAAAGTGTATGAATTTTAACAGATATCTGTCAATGTAGCAGTTAATGCTCCAGTAGAATGGTTCTTCAGGAGAGGAATTATCAAAAATCTGTTTTTTGGAGGTTCAATAAGAATAATTTTATTATTGGCATAGTCAATTTCATAAACAAAGTAATAAAAATTAAAAATTTATTATTGATTTGAACATTAAATAAGGGTTGATGAAATTTTAAGTGCAAAAAGAATTATTATGTGCTTAAAAAAAAATTATTATTCAATTAATAAAATTATATTATCGGTAACCTAACATTTATTTTTTAACCATTGCCTTCAGAAGAAGAAATAGAAAAAGACTATTCAAAGAACAGAATACATCTGGCTAAGACAGCAGAAAGAAGGTTGTGCAGTGAGATTGTTTGTTCTCCATAGAGTTTAGTCATACAGGACTGACTAAGCATTGAATCAGTTGCTCTCCTGAATATTATTTTTTGTATCAAGTGGATTGTTCTCCATGTACTTGTTTATTCCTTCCCATATATCTCATACTACTAGTACTACTGGTACCTCTTCTAGCACTACAACAAGTAGGCTATTAGAACTAGTATCAGCTCCCTATGGAGTGCAGTCCTTTTCATATGAGTTTCACAACAGCAGTGGTGGTGAATATCATTTATCATGTTGGGCAAGATAATTGTGGACAGACCAGTCATACATTTTCTATTTTAGATATACAGCCCTTAGTACCTTTTGATAATAATTTAGCCCCCCTATAACCCTCCACACAACTACTAGCCTCATGTTTAAATTTGCTTTCAATTCATGCACGTATCACTCTCATGCAACCAGCTCAAACTGCCAGTTCAAGAAGATCAAAACAGTTGCACAGCTTTAAAAACACAGTGTGTTGATTTTTGGCTATCTTTTTACTATGTAATCACTAATTGGATCAAAAATTTTGACTTATAGTAGTAGTAGAAGGTTTTAAAGTAGTAGGAACCAGGCAGTGAGGAACTGCAGGAGCATATGCAAGCAGAACTTCTATTCTTGGGAACAAAAATTCAGCACTTGGCCACCAGCTGTAAACTGCAGTACAAGGAGCCAGTTTTTCATTGAAACTACTAGCTACTACTAGTAGTACTAGTCAGTACATGCAAACGCAAGGGCCCAAAATCTATGACTTCATTGTAGTACATTTGCTTGTCCATGCTATACAATAGTAAGAAATGAATTAAAATAGTTTTTCATTTTACTAGTAGCAAATGGTAATACTACTAGTAGTAGCTACTACTAGTAGTATTAGCTACTACTAGTACTACTAGGCTTTGTAGTACTACTACTTCTGTAGGTGAAATAATGATTATTTCAAGTTGTCCTCACTCCTTCCAACAACGATTTTTCATACGGCTGCAAAGATATACAAGATATATTAGTAGAAAGTAGGGTATTTTTGTAGTTTTTTAGTACTACTGTTTTACACAATTTTTTGGTAGTAGTAGTAGAAAGTGAACAAAAATTTTATGAAAAGTTTCAATTTCTTACGGTTGGATTACGTACGAGTACCGTACTGTACATATTTTCTTATCCGTTGAGATGTTTTCGGAAAATCAAAATTCAAATTTCAAATACTGTAATACGTAATACGTACTGTATCTGTTTGGTCAAGTGTACGGTATTGGTACGTACGAGCAGTACCAATTCATCATAGCCGCACGGAGCCGGAAAATAAGAAATAAAATACTGTAATAGAAATATCGTACCGTGTAGTAGTACCGGTACGATAGGAGGTACAGTGCGAAGTGAAAAATTCAGAATTTCTGTACCGTACTTCAAAATACGAAGTACAGTACAGTTTACTGAAAGTGCGTTGCTATGAGTGCAGTGAAGGATGCATGGATACTCGACAACTACAGTACGTAGCACTTCAGGAACGACGAGGAATCATCAGCATCGCTTTCCATTGTATCATCGTCATACGCGCAAAATAGAATAAAACGTGATAGAACTAGAATTCGGTAGCCAAAAGCTTAATATGTTCTGGCAATTGATTGGGATGCTTGATAGCCTGCTACACAAAATTGTTGAAAGGGTCTTGACGGCTTTGATTTACATTGCTATCCTTGTAGCAGGTGCTCACCACGTAGGATGGCTGGACAGGTGGATTTGGTTCGTCTTAGAAAAGGAAGCAATGAAAGCTATCAATGGTGCTGAAGTCACAATAGGAAGCTTTACAATTGACTGGTCGGATATTTTTCAAGGACAAATCACTCTTCACGCCAGCAATGTTATTATTCACACCCCGCAACGCCACGAGTGGCAATGGGACTCTCCTGTGATCGCAAGAGTCGGAAAGGCCACTGTTGAATGCAACGCAATCATAACCATCTTTCATGTATTGGTTATGCGAAGAGAAGTTCCCATCGAGGCGTATACCATCATTGTAGCCGATGCTCAAGTTTTTGTAGAACGACGGAATTCGGTCATTAATGTGTACCTACTCAATCCAACGCTTCAACTTCCACCTCCACCGTATTCAAAAATGATAAACGACGATAGGTGTAGGCAGACGATGAAGGGAAATATAAACGGAAATAAACCGTTGAAAATTGATCGCCACCAAGAAAATACTAATTCCGATGGCAGAGAAACCCACCAACTAGGGTCAGAAGCGCTGTCATCAAATATTACACCGCCTGCTGATGATGTCACTGAGATATCTCTACGCAGAGGCGAAGATGCTTCTTCCAATGTGAAGACTACAAAGAATAATAGTGCATCAGAAGCTAATACCTTGTCCAGTCGATACAGCCCTAACCAACAAGCCCAAGTGTTGGTCAACGAAATGCTCCAGGCAGTCCAAGTTTTGGGGGGTGCAGCAGCAAGAGGTCAGCTACCTGGTGCTATCAGACAACAAGGACTGGAACTCGTAGGTCGATTGCAGGGATTTCGAGAGCAAGAAAACTTGGAAGAGGGCATTCGTGTCATGCAACAAATGGGAAAGGTAGCTGTCGAATCCTTGCAGAGTGCCCCTCAACTGATACTGCCGCAACCGGATACGACGAGGGAAAGACAAAACAAAATTATCTACATTCGTATTGGAAGAATTGTGGCCAAAGACCTTAGGATATTCACAAAAGATAGCTGGATCAATTCAACGAAGCCCCAGGAGGATTTCTTCGATTCGTCGAGTAGTTCTATAAATGGGACACCGACGGAAATCAAAGGCAATGTAGCAGATACCAATAGCAAACAGAATGGAAGTTGGAACAAGCCAATATTTATTGAACAATTGGTTTTGAGATCGTCAGAACTATGTCCACCTATGTCAATGAAGGACAGTAACGACTTACCGGCAATTTATCAAAGCGTCGACAAAGTCGCTGAAGTTGTTTGGAGACGCCTGTTAGCAGAAATAGCAAAATCCAACACGGGAAAACTATTCTCGACAGCTATGGGCGAAGTTCTGAGTGTCATGGTCTCAAATCCGCAACATTCGGTACCATTACTATCCGCAAGTTCAATCGCTTCCTCTGCAGATGTTCCACGAAACAATACCAATACCACCACTATGTAAGCGCTAACGATAGTATTTTGGTGGCATCTTCTATAATTAAATAGACTCGAATGAGCATATCAGCCATGTAACAAACAGTTCAGAGAAGTTCGATCTATTCAAATAGCCGCAAGCTACAAACTTATTTCTTACTTTAATTTGCAATAATGTTCAGAATTCTTCCTGGTACATAAATGATCTTTCTGATTGTCTTTCCATCGATTTGTGATTGGACATTCTCCATTTCCTTCGCAGCTGATACCGCGGTTTCTTCATCTGCCTCCGCTGGTATCGTAATTTGTCCACGCATTTTTCCATTCACCTGACATCCGATTGTAACTTCGTTGTCAACACAGAGTGCTTCATCGTATTCAACCCATGTGGCATACGCAAGAGAGTCCTTATGCCCTAGAATACTCCAGCATTCTTCTCCGAGATGAGGAGCAAGTGGGGATACCATCAAGGCAAGATTTTCTGCAGCTTCCAAAGGCACTTTGTCGCCCAAAGACACCAAATGGTTGGTCAGGACCATCATGGCAGAAATAGCAGTATTGAATGACATGGATTCAATGTCCTCGGTAACTTTTTTCATTGTCTTGTGCAGTATTCGAGCAGTTTCTTCGTCCATATCTGTTGTCTTCGATTTTGCGGCAGCATTTACGACGTTGTACAACCTGTTCTGGAAACGGACAACTCCAGGAACCTGCTCTGTCTGCCAGGGTTTTACAGCTTCCAACGGACCCATGAACATTTCGTACAAACGCAAGGCGTCAGCACCTTGTTCAGAGACAACATCATCAGGATTCACAACGTTGCCTCGACTTTTTGACATTTTCTCTCCATCAGATCCGAGTATCATCCCTTGATGAACAAGTTTTTCAAAGGGCTCGGGGTGTTCGGAATATCCAAGGTCAAAGAGAACTTGATGCCAAAAACGGGCATATAATAAATGTAAGACAGCATGTTCAGCTCCACCGATGTATAGATCAACAGGCATCCAATCCTTGTCCATTTGCTGGCTGAAAGCTTCCTCGGTATTGCTTGGGTCCAGAAATCGGAAGTAATACCAGCAACTTCCAGCCCATTGAGGCATGGTATTGGTTTCTCTTGCAAACCACTTCCCGTCCTTTTCGAAGTAACGCCAGTCCTTTGCTCGTGCTAAACAACCCGCCGGATCATCTCCTGGCTCAAAATTCTCCATATGTGGAAGCTCTAGCGGAAGATCCGCCTCGTCAACTGGAATAGGTTGGTCGTAACGAATGGTGTGTTCACAGTCGTCATTTTTTGGATCTTGAGATGTAGGATCTACGCCTTCAGGGAAGTCAACGGGGAAATAAATTGGAATGGGTTCACCCCAATATCGTTGGCGAGAGAAAACCCAGTCACGAAGCTTGTACGTAATCTGAGCACCACCCTTATTTATCTCTTCCAGCTTGTTAGTGATTGCCTTCTTGCAATTCTTTGTGGCCAATCCATCGAATTCTCCACTGTTAACAGCAACACCTGGCTCCGTAAACGCTTCGTCCTTATTGAGTTCTCCTTTCTTTGGTTCAACAACCCACTTCATATCCAAGTCAAACTTCTTCGCGAACTCAAAGTCTCTGGAATCGTGGGCGGGTACAGCCATGACAGCTCCAGTACCGTAGCTTCCAAGAACATAGTCACCAACCCAGACAGGAACGCGATCTCCTGAGATAGGATGAGTTACGTATGCACCTGTAAAAACTCCTGTCTTTACTTTGGACGAAGTTCGATCCAAATCAGAACGCGACGATGTCTCTAAAACATATTTATCAACTGAATCCTTTTGCTCGGGTGTTGTAATGGATGAAACGAGAGGGTGTTCTGGCGCAAGTGTGACGTACGTGACTCCCAAAAGTGTATCAGGACGGGTGGTAAAAACTTTCACAGACTGCCCATGCAAAATCAGAACAAAAGTGTGAGACGTACTCACCAGAAACGCCCGAATAACAGAGAGTTAATCTTACCTCGTCGCTTCCTTCGACGTCAAATACGATTTCGCATCCAACAGATTTCCCGATCCATTGTTGCTGGGAAGTCATCGTCCCCGAAGGCCAGTTAAGCCCATCGAGACCACTTTCCAAACGATCCGCATACTCCGTAATTTTCAAAACCCATTGTCGCAGTGGAAGTCGCTGAACGGGATGATCCCCTCGTTCACTTAATCCATTGATGACTTCTTCATTGGCTAAGACAGTTCCAAGAGCAGCACACCAGTTCACTGATACTTCGGATTGCTCTGCCAGTCCCTTCTTGTAAAGCTGCAAAAAGATCCACTGGGTCCATTTGACATAGGCAGTATCGGTTGTGGCCAACTCTTTATCCCAATCGTAAGAGAAACCTAACATTTTCAGTTGCCTTCTGAAATTCGCAATATTCTTTCCCGTGGTTTCAGCTGGCTGAGTACCAGTTTGTACAGCAAATTGTTCGGCCGGCAGTCCAAATGAGTCCCATCCAATGGGATGAAGAACATCATGTCCTGTCATCCTCCAGTATCTCGCCATAACATCCGAAGCTATTGAAATCATGTCATGTCATGCACAATCAAGCAACATTGTAAAGACAACACCAAACATGTGAAAAGAAAGTGGAATGAAAAGTTGTGCGAACTGCAAATGCACGTCAAAACACTTATGCAACGTATTGCGGTTATCTATTTCTCGGCGATGCACCATACACTCACCAGTGTAACCCTCTGGATGTCCAACGTGAAGTCCAGCTCCAGAAGGGTACGGAAACATATCCAAAACGTATTTTTTGGGTTTCGAGGTATCCCGTTCTGGTGTTTTGAATGTATTGTTTTCTTCCCAATACTTTTGCCATTTGGGCTCAACCTCTTGAAAGGGATACCCAGTTTTTGCTGCAACTGTGGACTCCTCATCGGTCGCAGTGGAATACAGACGAAAAGGTGTGGCACGGAATCTTGAAATCCCAAAATTGGCGTTGTTCTTGGCAGATGGTGTTACAAACGCATTTGCCATCCGTTGCAGCGAAGTGAACGTCAGCATGGCGGCGCAAGCAACTAGTGTTATCCGGCGTGACAGCATATCTCTCGACGGTTTGCAGCAGGGATTATCGGAATCGTAAGTACAGTTTCTAGAGCTTCGAGAAATAACAAGTTTCTGCTGCGAACTGCAAGAAGTCTTCGGCCGAAGTGCGTGATGGTGACAATCAATCGGAAGATACTATGGTCCGTTGTGGTCTTCGTGAATTGTTTGTAGAAGTACGTAACGAATCTACTCCATTTCTCAGGATGATGATTCAGTAGACACAGATGCAATAGTTGATGTTTGATAGCTCGAAGATGGAACGAGAGTACCAGCGGTCGATTGATGTGATGTTGTGGCGCGTATGACGCACACAACGAAGCACTCGTACGGTACTCCTACGCGAGTAAATACAGTACACTTCTATCTTGTAACGTACGTACGGTATGAAGTACGTGCGTACGTTGTCTTTCATTGTACATTCCTTCGTACCAATAATGCAGTAACGTTTGGGGATAGCCACCGAGAAGTATCTGATGTATGATGTAACGCAAGAAAAGGGGGAGTCTGGCATTCGTTCTCTCGAGCCCCGAATTTCGAATGCCACTACAACCAATTATTTTCCAAAGAAGCACGAGTACCGGGTACATTCGGTGGTGTTGTTCGTACTTTTCAGTAATACAGGCTACCGTACAACGATAACGTATCTGCACGGTACGGTACTCGTACTTCAGTGCGTGCGTACGTATTTTCAATAGAAGCGTACAATACAACATCCACATGTCTACCGTACAGTGCGAGTACGAGTACTAAAAGTAATTGTTCTTGAAATTTTGGTCTCAATCTCACACTAAATCTTTTTTTGTCCATCACATCCTTCGAGCAAGAAAAAGCCTACCGATGCGACAGCGGTACATACTGGTACTCATACTTCCAACAAAACAGCATCCCTCACTTCACATTCATGGCATTAAAAACAGCAACACCGTAGGCCATCATGCGTGATCAGAGATCTAGTGGATGGTCGAACGATGTTATCATCCGTTACTTCGGCAATTACACCACGTGATGCTCGTCTGAACGCACAGTGGACACTAAATTGAAGTGTATCACCGACATCGCATTATATTGATATGCCTATTTCTTGGCCATTGACTTCGCGAGAAGACTTTTGGTAAGTTGATTGGATCAATGGAAACAAGCAACTTGCATGCCTCCATTTTTTTCTACTTTAAGCATGTGATACTTTAAAAAAAAACACGCCGTTTACCTGTCCTACAACAAAACGTACAACGTTTCTGAGGAGTTTTTAGAATGATGCTAAAAGTAGAAAAATGATTGGATCTTGCGACAAGCGTAGCTGGTGTAGATTTTCTCATCTAACCGAGAGATGCTTTTGATGAACCGATCTCGTTCTGACCTTACTTTCTAACATGATTTATTTTCCTCTTCTTATGCAGCCTGGCGTATGTGCTTGCATGACTTCCAATTCATGAAAAGTTGACCCTTTGATGACAACAAACGATGAGCCGCTGTGACAAACTTGACACCTTTTTTTGAAACAAAAGGTGCGTTCCTAAAACGAGAGAGCGGTGTAAAGAAACATCAAATTGGTACCTTTGTTGGCAATGAGGAATACATAATTCTTCACTTTGACGAGACGTCCTCTGGACAGTGGTCACTTTACTTCAAAGTTCTCTGAGTCAATCAAACTTCCAAATTTATCATCAGTTGAAATTGTCTAGTATTTACTTACTGCCGAGCATTGTCTCTCACTCTTTATAATGCCTTCTCAGTTCTTTCCACACAAGAGTTTACATTCGAAATCAGCCCTTCGAAACGTTGACCCGTTTTTGTTGCAATAACTGAGTCACCAATGCAAGGTGGAAGAAAAGACCAATCCAAGCTACTCCCCCCTTGAGTATGAACTCATTTGTGGGCTTTTTGTTATTGCATAATGATGGTTTGTACGCCTTCGTCTTCGAATCTCGATAAGGACGTGCTCGAAGAAGTTTGAGTAGATAAGGGACGAAGATGCGTCGACATACTATTATTTAAAAAAATTGATGCCTTTTCTGAATGGTACCGTCGAAACATTCTAACTATTCAGTAGACGAACTGTCTCTTAAAACATTTGGCGTCTCATTTTCGAGAAAATCAATTTTAAGGTATTACCTGATCATAGATTATTAAAACACAAATTTCTGATCTCACCAATCTATCAATCGCATAGCGGTAATGTGAAGGACTTTGATTCTGCAGATTCTTTAGCGGTGGGGGGTGGTGGGTTAAAATTTGTGCCACCTGGATTTTTGATCATGACTAAAATCCTTCTTTCCCCATAAAGGAAGATGTTAATTATAATCAATTGTGAATATCCTTAAACAGGATAGAATGTATTTGTCGAGACGCTTCCAAACGGAAATGATGCATTCGGGGAGCTGCTGACAGCATTTGCAGTGAAATTTGTGAAAAGCTGTTTCGGCGATGCTAGTCCAAATCCAAAGGTACCCGATTCGTTCAGTTCTGGAGCAAGGTTCTCGTCCCCCTCGTCATCAACGCCAAAATAGTCTTCAATGAGGCTAACAACTTTCTCGTATACAGTTTCGCTTGGATGAGTCTGCAGCTCTTCGAGATATTCAATTCCGTTGCATTCATCAATAATCTGATCATATCTTTTCGGAAAAGGAGATGCTTCATCGACTTCCAAAACTTTCCTGATGGCATCCAGAATAGCAACTAGAAGTGATGGGTCCATGTTTTCTACTGCCAATACGGAAATGAGGGGTTCTAACCCACCGCTTTCAACCAGAGACTCGGTGTGCTTCGAAGTCCCGCTCGTACAAACATGCGCAAGAGCCCATAAAGCTTCTTTGCGTACTTCCCAAGTATCGTTTTTGGCATTTGTGATGATCTGCGTCAGTGCTTTTGTGTTCTTCATAAGCATCGTAATTTGTTTGTGATTACCACATGCAATATTTGAAGCAAGCCATGATGACTCCTTCCGAATTGTCTTCGATCGGCTTCCTAAAAGAAAAGGGAGGCGATCAATAATGCCTGAATCGATAACAACTTGTGTCTGGTTGTCACTTCCCGAGACGAAGTTGCCAAGAATACGGACGATTGGAGTCATACACCTGACCTTCAAACTATCGTTTTGTAAAAGATGAGCAAGCTTCAATGTAACTCCAGAACCAAGCACTAATTCAATCTTTTGTTCATCACCATCCGACAGGTAACTTAAAGCCCATAAAATATCAACTTTCACCCCATCAGATATAGGCTTATCAAGGAGTGAAACCAACGGGAAGATAACAGGGGCTGTCGTCTCTTTGGGTGGAGAGGGAGTTCCTCTGCACAAGTTCGAGATTGTCCACACTACATTTTCCAATAGAGACATAGTGTGTGCATTGGCCACATTCATCAATAGTGAGCTAAGAGCTTGCTCTTGCAAAACAATGTCTCTGAAATTAGGTCCTTCCCCTGCAATATTTCCTAGGCACCAAGCTGATTGTTCGCGAATATTCGCATCGGTATGTAACAAAAGTTGGACTAGAGGTTTGACACATCCTGCTTTCACTACATCAATCGTGCATTCAGTAGATGCGATATTCGTCAGTGCCCATGCAGACTCAAAAACTAGGGCTGTCGAAGATGAAGATAGATTTCTTACAAGATACGGAACGATGCCACAATCAACCAACTCTTGTGCCGGAATATTTTTCTCTACGGATAAAATACGGCGGAAGCCTTTCGTAGCTTCCACTAGAGCTTGTTCCGATGTAGAAGGGTTTGTCAGTATTGCTTTCAGACGAGGAGCGTCGTTGATTGTTGGTTTCGATTCTGGTCTGTTCGGGCATATATTTGTATCGGGCTGCAGATTTGAAATTGTGTCTGCGGAAGCAACCACGGCATCGGCTCTCTTCTTCTTAAGTTGCTGTTCCTTCTTTTGCTTTCTGATCCTCAACGTAGTATCTGCCCGTCGTCGACGGCCTTCACCTGCATCGACGGTTTTCTTGTAATCGCTTTTTCTATGCTCTGCAGGGCCAATTTTCGTTCACGTAAGGTATTTCAAATTGAAGATTCGATTAAGTTAAACTATTTCATTGCATTAAAAATAGTCTGTTTTGTAATACATATGCGATATGCCGCTTTCTTTCGGAGGAAAATGCACATCTAGTTCTTACCTAAGGCGTCATTTGCTGGTTCGGAAATCATGATTTAATTGAGATGGAAAAAGTTTCAGTGAGGGCTGGGTAGCACCGTACTCAATGACTAAATGAAATTGTGATCAAACTTATGCACTTAAAACGTGATTTGAGAATCGGAAGAAAAAAGCTCGATTTATGTTTAGCGATTTGTGGTCGCCGAATCACCCGCCATAAAAAACCAAGGCCACCTCGCTCTCAACGACTAGTTTGGTTTTCTAATTTCTGATCTAATTTTTACGGAAGGACTATCGAAGCTCTATCCCGATACGGTTTTACTATGAATCCACGAACAGGTGATTGCCGAAGCGCAGTACTACCCGTACTCGTACCTGGTACCGTAATAAAAAAGTTTTTATGCCGTCATTAGTGCAGTAGAACACAGTACAAAATCTACTGAGGAAGTTTTCAAACATTCTGGTGGTGCAGAACCAATCCTGCATCTTTCTCAGAAGGTAAATCATGCTGAAAAGGTTGGGGAGCAAAACTCAGTAGAGCCCTGTAGAATTTGAACTGAAACAATTAAGTAGTATGGCATCATTAAATTGACTACTAGTACTACTAGTAGTAGTATGGGAACCAATTTATTTGTGCACCAAGAGTCGAACAAGAATCAATTGTGCGTTTCTACTGGATTCATATGAGTAGTAGTAGTAACAGTAGTAGTAGTAGTAGTAGTAGTAGTAGTAGTAGTAGTAGTAGTAGTAGTAGTAGTAGTAGTAGTAGTAGTAGTAGTAGCAATAGTAGCAATAGTAGCAATAGTAGCAATAGTAGTAGTAGTAGTAGTAGTAGTAGTAGCAGTAGTAGTAGTAGTAGTAGTAGTGGTAGCAGCAGCAGTAGTAGTAGCAGTAGTAGCAGGAGTAGCAGTAGTAGCAGTAGTAGTGGTAGCAGTAGTAGTAGCAGTAGTAGTAGCAGTAGGAGTAGCAGTAGTAGCAGTAGTAGTGGTAGCAGTAGTAGTAGCAGTAGTAGTAGCAGTAGTAGCAGTAGCAGCAGTAGCAGCAGGAGTATTGGTGATTTTATAGCTTTTGACTCTTGTTTTTGAAAGAAAAACAACAACTAGCCCCTAGTAGTAGTATCTTCCTGCTGTAAATATGGTACACCAAGCACCCCTACTACTAGCTTGCGCTACCTGACGTGACGGATGGACACCACTCCAACAAATGTTCTTGTACAGTACTACTAGGTACATACAAGTAGTGTAAATATTGGTTCATTCCTGAAAACATAAAACTATAATCTGGAATCATTTTCAGTGGAGCTAAACACACAGAAGGCTTGGTGAAAGTAGATATTTTCTCTCTCTTTCAGGAATGTGGAATCCCATGTAATTGTGCACACATTGTTGTTTTGGCCACAAGATTCCTCATAAAGGGAATAAGATTCAAATTTTCACAAAACCAGCTCCAAAAGAGTGCTTATCCAAAACTGCCTCCATCCTCACTATTTGTTTATCATTTTCTCCCTCACAGAAAAAACACTACACTATGACACTATAATGTCCCCTGAGTTGATTTTAATTGCATGGGCACCAGCTTCCCTCAAGGAGGAGGACAACAGGAGATAGGAGAAGACTTCTCACCCTAGAGGAAAGTCATCATAGGGACAGGCACACACTCAGATTGCTCTCCTGGGAATGAAGGAATCAGCATTCATCCATTTATTTGGTTCTGGAGATGATCAGGCTCTTCTAAACAACTGTTGTGTTGACCATGGGGTCTTGTTCAGGTACCTCCTTTCCCTCTTCCAGCCAGTGTTTGATAGATATACTTTGTACAAAGACACTGAGTTGGTCAGACATTGACTCTTCACCAAGAAGTAAGGCAAAATCCAGGGCAAAATGAGGGATGTAGTAACTGCAACCATTATAATGGCATCAGTCTTGACTTGGTACAGAACACATGGATCAGCAGGTAGGACCTTGCCTTTTGTATTTGGAATCACCTCCAATCCCCTCTATAGCCATATAGTAACATGAATGGGAGAGAGTTGTTGTTGATTATGTGTTTAAGGTCAAAGGAACAGACTATCTCATTTTGAGCCAGCAAAATGATCCAGATACATTTGATTATATGCCCAAAAACACCTAGGCTGTAGTAATCAAAAGGCAACAAGCAACAGCTGTCTAGCAGTCGTCTGAATGGGGCATGAGAATGATCAAGGGGAAATTTCCAAAAGGAGAGGCTTACACTAGTAGAAGATCTCAGGGATATGAAGATTAATCTTAACCTCATGTTGTTGTTGTATAATTATCAATGCAGCACAGTGGGCATTAATCAGATCCTCAAAACCTCCATGGGCGGTACCAGTGACTCTGAATCCTTCCAAGAGTTCTTGAGGGAATCCTATGCCAAATGACAGCAGATAGGATACTTCTCATATGGGAGGACCCCTCCTGGTGTAGATGCTACGAATGGAAAATTTTGATTCTTGTTTGGTTGACCACCAATTGTGATTGTGTTGATTGCCAATTGAATTAACAATTGTGTTTAATTGTTGTGATTCCCATGGTTGAGTTCATTGTTGTGTTTAGTTCTTAATGGAAGATTACTACTAGTAGTATCAATTAGCTAGTTAGAATGTACTCCAGTTAGTGGTATTATGAAGGACAAGCTACTAAGACAAGATCTAAAGGGGGGAGGAAAGAAACCCAACCAATACAATGTGTTATTGTATAGAGTTGGTGGACCAATGCCCTTATTTTTGCATGCAATGACTACTTTTACTAAAAAAACTAAATTGATACAAATGCACCACGGGCTCAGTATTGTTGAATTTTGGTAATAGTTCTTGTTTCAATGGGTGGCCAATATAGTATATGCAGTAATAGAAAGCTTGATGAAAACGTTCTTGCTTTGCTTTGCTTTKGTAAGCACATGAATCAAAAGCCATTTTTCAGAGCTTCCTCACTGTATTGGGGAGTTGTGGGGTCCTAGTAATGGAATAAATCAATGTGCGTGTATGAATATAGGGTAGAAAATGTACAAATGACACGGCCGGAAACTTTCCACACAGTACACTATGTAATTTTGACTTAAATACAAGTTTTCTTGCATATCTTCCTGCAAATAACTGGGACTGCTACTAAAACCAAAAACCAGGGTTAGTAACAGAGGGGAAACATGTTGCATGTGGAAGCAATCMCATCACAATCATTTGCATGAATATCCATAAATATAGATTTTGGGATACTTGACACATGGAAGCAATCCCACACAATTGCTGGCATGCTCTGTTCTTAGTGGAAGGAGAGCAATGACACAATTTAGATTAACACAAAGTATTGTGTGGACAGGATTAAGAATCAGTGTACTGCAGTATTATGCAGTACTCATACAAAATTGCAAACTGAGCAAACAGGAGGGGGTGGGCAAGCAGCAATCACCAAACAGTAAACTAGTTTAGTAATCTAAATCATAATTTGTAAATAATCATGGGATTCTTATTCCAAATCCTAGTCTAAATCAGAGGACAAGAAGGCAGAGCAGTTGCTCCCCCTCTTTAATTTGTACTTCTTCCACCTATTCTTCCTGCTGTGAGGAGGGGCAAAAGTGCCAGCAATCAAAAAGAATATGTTTGATTTCTGTCATGGTTTTTTACTGATGCTGTTGCGTCAAAGCTTCTTGGAAGGCTTATTGCTGTTACATCAAAGCTTCATGCTGTTGCTTGGATACACCATCTTGCAAGGCTTGTTGCTGTTGCATCAACATCTGGAACATTGACACAAAATCTGTGTTGCTGCTATTGTTTGAGGGCACTCTCTTGACTGGAGGGTGAGGAGTACTTTGAGGAACAGAATCAATTGTGAATTATTTTGCTGGAGTTGCTTGAGTTGGAGCAGTTAGTTGAGGAAGCTGACTGAGCTTAGTAGTCAGCACTAGCATCAGAGTTGGGGATTCCTGTTGAGTGAGGATCTGAGTGAGCTGAGTTGGCAATGGTGTTTCTTGAGTAAGTTGTGAAGGCTGATGAAGAGGAGGAGGGCTATTGCTGGTTGTTGTTGTTTAAAGTGGCGTTATCCTCACTAATGTTGTATCCTTCCTCCAAATCAAATTCCTCCTCTCCATCTCATCCAAAGGGGACCTTGACACCAATCAAATGCTTGATCTCCTTTGCAAGCCTGATTGTGGGAGTTATGTTTAGATCCCCAGTTTGAATTTGTCTCCTGTGGAGGGAGGATTACTACTTCATAGTGATGGAATCCTTGTCTCTTCCAGGAACTGGCCAGTTTTCAGCATGCTGTTGAACAACTTGTTCCAATTGAAATGAATCAATAGGAAGGATCTTATTCAAGGTCTTCAGCATGCACATGGCCTCCCTGAGGCTGCAATTGGTGGCACCACGAGTCCTCTCTTCCTCGTCTCTCTTGAGCAGTTGGTCCTGGAGCCACTGGAGCCACTGCAGCTGCTCTGGAGCCATCATGGTGGATACACAGAGGAAGAGGAGTCAGTTGAACTGTTCCTACTTCTTTTTTTATGATCGCTTTGTATCAAATGCAGGATTTCATTTCCCCTCTCAAGGGGCCAGTACTGGCGCCAATGCTCCTCCTCCCCTCTCTTAGCAAGATCCTGCATCCTCCTCAATAGAAGAATGTTGATGCTTGTACTAGTACTATTGACTAGAATTGTGCACACGCCTGCCAGGCCCCCTCTTATCATGCTGGTCAGCATACTCTTCTCTCATCCTGTGTTGTTCCAGTGACATCCTTCATGTGTTCTGTTCTTGAGAGAGGAAGTAATGAAATGCCTGTTCTGTTAAGGATCAAACTTTTCAGTTTGGCACCCAGATAGGACTGTCTTTTAAGGTATGGCCCCCAATCACAATAAGAAGACAGAAAGTGTTTTGTAGCTACTAGTAGTACTACTAGTAGTCAAGGATTCCAATACACCACCACCACCATCTAGAGTTGGCGCCCAGATGTACAAACCAGCCGTGCATTTTCCTACCTTTTTCCTGAGTAAAATATGTCAAGTCCGCCTACTGACATCACAAATCTTGTCCAAATACACCATTTTTCTATGGAATTTTTGTCACAATGTCAATATATTCTTAATGAACATACTGACCTAAAATAACATCCAATGTTGCACCTATAACCCCAG